AAACGAAACTAGGCAATTTGAAAGCATTTCTCGTTTTAAAAACATAAAAACGGCTAACACGTGAAATTTGTGTTCAACTGGAAATCAATCTGCGAATATTTTTCAACCCCTAAGTTGAAACCCCACGCAACGGTGACATCCACCCTTAAAGTCTCAAATGGAATGAGGGGATGAAAGGCACCTCATTTGTAAGCTTATTATTGCTTCTTTTCAGCACTCTCTTATTTCGGGAATATCTTTGAAATTTTTGTGGATAATTATGACAAAATAAAACTTCTCGAAAAAAATTCTATTAAAAACCTCTTATAAACAAAATAACATCGAAGATAACAGAAAAAATGTAAATAAGTTTTTACTAATATGTTTTTTTTTAATCTGTTTACTGCATGGGCAGTAGAAGTCTTTTAATAAATATCTTTAAGTAGATTTATTTCGATCGTATTCAGTGTAGGGCCTTTTGTTTACAGTAACAGTAAATATCTGCAATGGTTTATTCTACTGCCGAGAAGGTTGAAATAATTGAATTGTTTTTTGGACATAACTCATGTGCCAATAGAACAGCAGAGTTATTTAATGTTTATCATACAGATAAACATGTCAATAGAAAGTACGTACTAGAATTAGTAGCAAAATTTAGAGAAACTAGAAGTGTTCTTGGAAAGAAGCATGTCCGACCTGCTGTAGTTAGCAATGAAGTTATGCAAGTAGCAGTTCTGGGTCAACTCCATGCCAGACCAGGAATGAGTGTTAGACAATTGGCAGCAGGCACAGGAGTAAGTAAAAGTAGTGTTCACAGAATTTTAAAGTTACACAAATTTCATCCTTACAAACTTCACCTGGCGCAAGAATTAAACGAAGATGATTACGATAGACGAATACAATTCTGTGAACAACTAAGCGAAATGCTTATAGCTAATCCTCTTCTTCTTTACAACATTTGCTTTTCGGATGAGTGTACATTTTTCCTCAACGGAACCGTAAATCGTCACAACTGTCGCTACTGGGCTGATGAAAATCCTAAGCACTTGCGTGAGGTTCATACTCAGTACCCTCAAAAATTAAATGTGTGAGCTGAAATCTTTGGCGACTCTCTTATTGGTCCGTTCTTTTCTAATGGAAATTTAGATGGTGAAATGTATCAGACTCTTTTGAAAGACGCCATAAATCCTAGAATAACAGAGATAATCGAGAATGGGAATCACTATGACGAAAATCAAGTCGTTTTTCAACAAGATGGAGCTCCTCCGCATTATGCTGCACTGGTACGGCATTATCTTGATGAGATATTTCCCGGTCGCTGGATTGGAAGGAGAGGACCCTTTCTTGAATGGCCAGCTAGATCACCCGATTTATCACCCCTTGACTTTTTTTTATGGGGGCATCTGAAAACAAAAATGTATGCCACTCAACCGGAGACACTAGAAGTATTACGTCAACGAATTGTAGATGAGTGCGCGCTGATAACACCTCAAATATTACAAAATGTTCGAGATCGCTTTGAACAGAACCTGTACTCTTGCATGGCTGCAGACGGTGCTCAGTTTGAACATTTATTAAATTAGTTGTTCTAAGTATTAATTTAGTTGAAACGCATTTACATTTTTTCTGTTATCTTCGATGTTATTCCGTTTATTAGAGGTCTTTAATAGATTTTTTTTAGAGAAGTTTTATTTTTTCCTAATTTTCCACGGAAATTTCAAAGATATTCCTGAAATGAGACACCGTTGAAAAGTAGCAGTAATAAGCTTACAAATGAGGTGCCTTTCATCCCCTCATTTCATTTGAGACTTTAAGGGTGGACGTCACCGCCGCGTGGGGTTTCAACTTAGGGGTTGACAAATATTCGCAGATTAATTTCCAGTCGAACACAAATTTCACGTGTTAGCCGTTTTTTTGCTTTTAAAACGAGAAATGCTTTTAAATTGCCTAGTTTCGTTTTGGGTGGGACGCGTCATTGTCAAATTTTTTGACATAAATTCCAATAAATGTGGTACCGTTGAAAAGAGAATTTAAAGAGCTTTCATTTAAGGGGTCAGTCGACCGACTTTCCCTATTTAATTTTTAGGGGTTGAACGCGCCCCCGCTGAGGGATGACAGATAGGTCATTGAAGATGAATTTGAGTTGTCCCCTTTCATGCAAAAATCGACGTGTTTGAATGTTTTTCATTTAAATAATTCTAAATATGCAAAAACTCCTCTGTTTCGTTTTAGCTAGGACACCCTGTATATGGGAAATACATTATTACTTAAAATTTCACAAAGCATTTGACATACAAATATGTTTTCAGTGATGCAGCTGGAAAGTGCAACATATTCCGCCTCAGCACTGGAGAGTGAAACAGTATTTTGCTTTCTAGTCTTCCATGATACAACATTATTGTTCAACTTCATAATAAAACCTGCTACACTTTTCCTATCGTTTATACAGTTTGCCAAATCTGAATCAACAAATTATGTTATTTTTATATTTGTATCAGAATAATTTTTTTTTTAGATATTTCAGACCAAAAGAACTTGTATTTTTCAAATATCTTAACACATTTTTGAGATGATTCTAATGCTCATGAGAATAATTATTCTAAATCTGACTGAAGTAAGTTATACAATAGCTTAAATCAGGCCTAAAGCCTAGCATAACATACATAAGACATCCTATGGGCTCCTTGTATGGTAAATTATTCATTATTTTATTATCAGGTGTGCTTAGTTCAAGCTTATTTTGCATTGAGTCTCTGATGATTTACAATCAAACATGTCAAATTTATATAAAATCTTATCAATTAAACCTTTTTGGGTAATATACAGTTCGTTGTTAACCTTTTTAATTTCCAGTCCCAAGAAGTTCATTTGTGTATTTTTAAATAGCTTCATTTTGAAAATTTTAGACAATTCTGTAACAATGAAATCAATATTTTCTAAACTTTTTGAGACTAGAATTATATCATCAAGATACAGTAAAAGGAATGTTTCATTGTTATAATTCAAGCAAGGATCTTTGTAAACCTAAATCAGTTATAGTTCTGTGAAATAAGTTATTCCAGCATTTGGGTGCCTGTTTATATAAAGATTTGGTTAACTTACATACAAGTTCTAAAGTACCGTCAAGACCCTTGGGCTGCTGCATATACACTGGTTTTTCGAGATCTCCATAAAGAAAGGCTGAATTGACATCCAGCTGTCGCACACACATGTCTGATTCGACATACAGACACAACAAAACGCGAATAGTTAACATTCTGGCGCCCGGCGCATACGCATTTTCATCGAGTTCACTCTGAAGAAAGACACGAGCCACTAAACGTGCTTTTTTGACTTCAGTTCCGTTAACACTTTTCTTCCGGAATACCCACTTCGAATCTATGATCTCTTGATGTTGAGGAGGTGATACCAATTTCCAAGTTGACATTTTTTTCATTGAATTCAGTTCTTCTTCTATCGCTGTCTTCCATCCGCTGTCCTCTACTGCTTTCTCATAAGTCTGTGATACATCTGTTATTAAATTTCCAGCTGATAAAGACATCATCAAATTTTCTTCAAAATCCAGGTTGTAGTCGTCTAAATATCGTGGTTTCTGTCTAATTCAGGTACTGTTTCGTCTATTTTCATTATTTGTTCCTTTAAGTTTTTCTATTTTCCCAGTTTCTTCTATAATTTCAACATTTTCCTCTTTTTCTTCTTCCAAGGCTTCCTTTAAATCTTCTGTTGTCTCATCCTGTTGACCTATGTCATCATTTATGTCTATGTTGGTTACATTTCTCTGATTCTTATTTTTATCGAAAACTACATCTCTTGCATAGACTATTTTGTTTTCTTCAGGGTTTCATAGCCCGTATCCGTTATCAGAGTATCCTATCGCAATCATTTTTCTGCTTCGGGCATCAAGTTTATTTTTCCTATCTTCTTTAGGGATTAAATTATATGCTTCACATCCAAAAAGTATGATTTTCTTCAGATCTGGTTTATACCCATACCAAATTTCTGCAGGGGTTATTTTATTTGGTAACACACTTGTTTCTGTACGATTTAATAAGTAAACAGCACATCTCACTGCTTCTCCCCAAAAGATTTTTGATAAATCTGAATCCAAAATTAAACATCTTGCAATATTCATTATATTTCTGTTAAAGATCTCTGCAACGACATTTTGTTGGGAATTTCTTGGTGTATTGAATCTGTATACCATGATGTTTGCATAGATTCTTGAAATTTCCAGAAACATATTCACCACCGTTGTCACAGCGTAACCTTTCTATTTTTCTCTCAAATTTGGTGAAAGTCATTTTTATAAATTCTTCGAATTTTTGTGTTACTTCACTCTTCTGAGCAATTAAGTAAACAACACAGAAATGGGAATAGTGGTCAATAAAACTTACATAATAGTTGTTTCCGTCATGCGTTGCTGGATTGATGGGACCACATATCGCTCATTGGGAGCAATAGTGGCACATCTCCAAAAATGGCCCTTTTTAGTTAATTGTACCATAATATTCGCAAATTGATGTTTTAATATCCAACAATATTGGCACATCTGTATTTAGGTTTGGTACCGCTAGATGGAGGTAGTGTCACTATTGAATTTCGCGCGTTTTTTAACGGAGACGCGACAATACCGGCACAATAACTCAGTGTGTCAGTGACCATCGCAAAGTCAACATCGTGAAGAGACGCAACAGTGGCATATTTCAAATAGTACGCTAAGGTAGGTTCAATATTTTAATGTAGGAAAGCAATAATGGCACATTTGAAGTTGTGCCGATATTGTATGTTAAAATGTTATCATGAAGTTCAATATTATTGTATCAACGTAATTTGTGCCAGTATTGCATATTTTTTTCTTGATATTATTGAAATGTGTCATTATTGCTTGTTTGAAGTGTTGTGTTAGAGCTGTTTATTTAAGTGACATTTCATAATGTGCCACTGTTATTTTTTAAATATTGTTTGCTTATCTTGAATCTTGTGTATTATTGCTATAATTTATTTTTTATTTTTTGTTTTAGTTTACCAAATTAAATTGCAAGAAGAAGTTGAATTGCATTATGGAACGTCAAAATGCCCATTCAAGAGGAAAAAAAATCCTAGGACTGTTAGGCATCAAATTAATAAAAGATCATTCTAACACTGCAAACTGGAAAATCGCATCTGATTCGTCTGTGATTCGCGATGTTATAGAAGCTATTATAAGCAATGTGGAAGCAAACATCAACAAAGGGGAGTTTAAAGAAGTTGGCCTTGATTTATCCGCCGCAGAAATGGAAGTTGATATAGCAGAAGAAATAGTTTCTCAAAGGAATGATTTAGAACCAGAAAAACAGGAGCAATGCTTAGAAAAATGTATAATATCCCCTAGTGAAACTCCCGAATTTCCACAAGCTGAAGAGAAAATGCTGACAGAAAATGAGGAAGAATCGAATTCAGAGCCTAATCCATTCTCAGACGACTCTATTGTCGATCCCAATTACGAAGCTGATGACGTAACTACAACAACAGACAGTGACAGTGAACAAGAAGCGCCGCCGCCGCCGCCGCAAAAAGATGAAGAGGTAGCAAATGCAATAAAGAAGAAATCCAGAAAAAGGAAGAAGGACCCTCATGAGTGGAAAAGAAACAAAACAAAATTACTCAGGAACACCGGACAGGCCTATGTTACACTCAACAAGCATAAACCTGTAGCACCTAGACAAATAAAACCTCGTTGTGGTGATATTTGTAAATTTAAGTGTTCGACCAAATTCTCCGAAGAGGAAAGAACTGCGATATTTCGTAAATATTGGAACCTGGCTGATATTGCCAAACTAATAATAATATTTTTTATTTTTTAAAGGATGATAAGAAAATAAGGGTTTGTAAGGTGTTCTTTATTTCAACTTTGGGAATTACTACCCGCTGTATTCGAAGCGTGATAGCTAAGAGAAAAGAAGGAAATTTTGAAGATAAAAGGGGAAAGCACGGAAATCAACAGCAAATACCGGACGCAAAGAATGATATACGTGCTCACATTTCATCCATTCCCAAAATTGAGAGCCACTATACCAGAGCACACAGCGAAAAAGGATATATTGAAGGGGGCAAGAGCATAACCGATCTGTACAGAGATTATAAAAGCCTTTGTGAGCAAGACGGCAAATCCGTTGCAAGTTTAACCACATACAGGGATATTTTCAATTACGAATTCAACTTGGCTTTTTTTGTCCCCAAAAAAGATCAATGCCAAAAGTGTGTTGCGTACGAAAATGCGGATGTTGACGAGAGAAAGGAAATGGAAGATGACTATTCAATACACCAAAGAGAAAAGACTCTAAGCAGAAAAGAAAAAGAAGCAGATAAAGAAAAATGCTGTGCAAATTATCATGTCAGTTGCTTTGACTTGCAGGCTACATTGCCAACACCAAAGGGCGACGTGTCCTCATTTTATTATAAGTCAAAACTCTCAACTTATAATTTTACTGTGTGTGGCCTTACTCAGAAGGGTCAAGGTCCTGTTACGTGTTTCATGTGGCATGAAGGACAAGGCAAAAGAGGAGCCAATGAAATTGGATCCTGCCTAATAAAGTATTTACAAGAACAGGGTGAAAGTTATGATGGTAATGACTTAGATATTGTATTTTACTCTGATAATTGCTCGGGGCAGCAAAAAAATAAATTTATTTTGGCAGCGTACTTTTACGCCGTAGCTAAGTATAATATTAAGTCAATAACGCATAAATACTTGGTAACAGGTCACACACAGAACGAAGGTGATAACGTTCATTCAGTCATAGAGAAGAATATTAAAAGGTCACTAAAATCTGGTCCAATTTACACACCAGACCATTACGTAATGTTGGTCAAAAGCGCAAAGAAAACGGGAGCTCCTTACAAAGTTATAGAGATGAGTTACGATGATTTTTTTGATTTAAAAAAATTAACTACTCAAACTTCTTTCAATTTTTATAAGGACAGTTCAGGCGATATCGTTAAATTTAATAGTGCCTGTGTTTTCAAAGTAGAGAAAGATGCTCCTGACGTTTTTTTTTATAAAACTTCGTTTAGTCAAACTGACTACAAAAGCGTAAGCATTAGACAGAGAAATAATACGCGAACAGGTGCGGACTTTGACTCTTTTAAAACCGTTGATCTGGAACGTGCTTACAAAAATATAATACCAATTCCCAAGAAAAAATTTGACGACCTAATGGATTTGTTAAAAAGTAATGCCATCAAAAAATGTCATAGTCACTTTTATGATAGCCTGAAACGGGCCAAAGACTAAAGGTACCTCATACACTACGATGAAAAACTACGGTTTCCATCGCCGCGATGAAACACGTCGTTCCAAAACCGAAGTGTGTGGAAAAAAAACACGACGGTTTTGGAACGACGTGTTTCATCGCGGCGATGAAAACCGTCGTGTTTCATCGTCGTCTGTGGGGCCATTTAAGTCGGTTACTTCTTAAGTTTCAGTAGTTTTTTTTTTTTTTTAGTTTTAGAATATTTATTTTTTTATTTTTAGAATAAATAGTAGTTGTTTTTGTTATTATTTGCAGATTAGTGGAACTGAGAATCTACTGTTATTTTCTTGAGTTAGATAATTCCAAGTTTAGCGAGGTAATTAAATAAACTTTCGTAGCTACCAAACTATATTTTGTAAACCATTTATTTTCTAATAAAATGTTGCCTAAATCTTGTAGTGGAGTTTTATTAAGAATTTTCCATCAAGATATTTCACTTTATTTATAAAAATTATATGTGTAAAAAAATCAATAATGGCACAAGTTTTTTTTTCAAAAAAAATAAATAAAACAAAATGTTTTTTCCAAAAAAAATTGCAATATTACACTCGGATACCTAATTTTACACACAAATAGATATAAAACTTTAAATTAGGTAATAGAGTTAATATAAAATCTTTAAATCTTTTAATTAATTCTTACAAATTGGTGATTTTCTCAAAAATAATATTTTTTTGATATGCCACTATTGCACCCAGTGAGCGATATGTCGCTAGAAATAGTTTCCAAAATTCTTGTTGGCTTTCTGAAATCAGGTATTTTGCAGTAGGGCTTTTTAATCTGCTTAATTTTCATGCATATTCCACAAATTCCAGGACTGTATGTATCATTTTTCTGTGTATCAAATATAGATCTTCCCTTGTGGCATAAGCTGTTTCATTTCCAGACAAGTTCATGGTGACTATATATAAATTTCCATTTAGTTTTTCTTTTAAAATTTCCATTTTTCCTTTCCTAATATAAACTTGATTATTTCTGAATAAAACTTCTAATCCAGCTTCTTCAAATTTCCGAACTGACAATAAATTGCAAAATAATCCATCACAAACCCAAACATTGTTTATTATAATGGCCTGGTTCCCGATCTTAACTTTCATGTTTCCTTCCTGCACAGCTTCTATTACAGAACCAGATTTTGCTAGATTTATGCTATAATCAATAGCTTTTGATTCAGTGATATATTTGCTGAACTTATCTTGAACAAGATGGTGTGTTGCACCACTATCTATAACAAAATCAATTTTTAAATTGTCAGCTGTACTTGCCTGTTCCATTGTTGTTAAAAATGCAATAGGGCTGTCACTATTTTGGTTGTTTTCTTCTGCTTGGTGAAATCCCCTTCCTCTTTGGGTGCAATCTATTCGTCTGTGACCTCTTCTTCCACAATTGGGGCAATTATATAGAAAATAATTGGAATTCACTTCATTATTCGGATTTATAAAACTGCCACGACCTCTATTTCCTTAGTTTCTAAAATTTCTTCTATTTCCATAATTCCTATGTCCTCTGTGTCCTATAAATACTGCATCATTTACTGTTTGTTTCTCATCATATGCCTTTGTCAATCGAGCCTCTTCCATTAGTAGTTTGTTTTTAACAAACTCTAATGTCACTTTAGTGAATATAACATCAAGGGCGGTTTACTACGCCTTAAAATGACTCTGGCATTGAAGAAAGTAATTGTGAAATTACTTCACTCTCTTCAAGTTTTCCACCAGCAGCTTTTAGTTCAAAAATAGTGTGTTCAAATTCAGTTATAAATGAGTTAAGAGGAGTTCCTTCAATGTATTTTAATGACCTTAGTTTCGTTTGTAGTTGTACCTGTGTTGCTATTCCAGTTTTACAGTATGTTCCACGAAGTACATCAATAATTTCCTTAGCAGTAGTTTTTCCCTTGACCAGTTCCAAAACATTATCCGAGAAACATTGTATTAAGATATTCCATGCTTTTACGTCATTTTTGGTGAAGGCCCCACATTCTGCGCTTGTTGCTGCAGGCGGTGCCTGTGATAAAACAGAAAGCACTCCTGCTTGTTCCAGAACGAGGCTGACCCGAAATTCCCAATTGGAAAAACCGCTTCCATCGAAAGGTTTGATGTTGCTAGTTTGCGACACGTTTGAAGTCATGTTTTATAATAACATTCCTATATTCCTTGAGAATTCCACAAGTTCCACAATAATTCCGTGTAAAAGCGTTTTAACTTTTTAATCGTTTTTAAAACGAGTTTTTAAACATAACCTCTACTGGCTCTACTCACGGTTTTCGAAGTTTTTGCACTCATTCCTCACTTAATATTGTTCTTTCCAGCCTGGGCCCATAACCTATGGTTGTGCAGCATTTTCCATGTAAATTAGACGAATTTTGTGAGTTTGATTTAACTCTTTAATTATTCCAAAGTCTCGAAAATAATGCAAAAACAATCGTGCAAAATGAAAACAACAACCTATCATGTTCTTGACATGTCAAACTTGTACTTGGGCAACGAACAGTGTTGCCAGCTAAACTTAAATCTAGGTTTTGTTAGAGAGCTGTTTTGCCAACTCCAACATTACGAGTTTGGTGTATTGCATCATAGATGGCGACACTCATTTTACCACAGGAGATATATTAGAAATCCTCAAAATATATAAGTCGTAGGACCGAGGGTTAAAAATTGATAAATTTTTGACGGTAGGCTATTACTCAACAATTTAAAATTCAGAACATGTTGTCCAACCTTAACCTTTGTTTAGATTACTTATCATTTTTTATTGATAAAAATGATAAAATATAAGGCAATATTAAAAGTTAGGCAAAGACAAATCCATAATAAATTCGATAAATCCAAAGCTACCATCGTGTCAAGAATCAGAGAGTTTAAATGTTGCATAAAAATCATATGAAAAATTGACTATAAAACTGATTTAATAAAAGAAAAGGTATTAAAAGTTATTAGAGAAACGTAATACAAGTCTCCATTCCAACATAAGGTAGAGCACGGAAGCCATCTATCCTCGGTCACTTGACGAAGGGAACCGCACATGGAACTTGCGGATTCCAGCCCAGAATCCAGGAAAATAAGAGTTGTCGTCAAATGTGGGGCACACGTATCGACTTGTGAGGGTCTTGTTTCTTGTAGGGTAGGGATCCATCAAAAGCTCTATGCCACCCTCCACGGAAATGTGTATGTGGCCTTTTTGGAATGGACGTGTTGAGAGAAACGGTTCTTCGAAAGACCTACGAGGTGGGTTGAAATTCAAACTTAAATTAAATGGTAAACACAAGACTTCTTGATTCAATTTTTTTTGCAATCAACAGACTATTGCCTCACGCAACTTAATTTTGTTGAGATAAGGTAATACCTGAAGGCCGATAAGGTACTTTATATTTCTACGGCATGGTTGTCTCGAGAAGATGGCGATTTTCAGCCGATCGACCTTGTAGCTCGACGACACAATTCAAAAGGAGAGAGAATTGTTACGGACCAGGTGAGTATACAGCGCTGCCTCTCCAGATAGTCAACGGAAATTGTTGGTACTAACCGGTTCGTCAAATTTAAAAGAAAATCGCGCCCTTTAGTATAATAATTTAATAATTGCTATATAATAAGTAGCGGGAACTCTGTAATTTTTTAATGCTAGTCAAACGACTGTCAACATTAAGAAGGGTTATATAAAGTTAAATTTGAACGAAAAAAGAACAAGTAACTTTACACGTTACATTATCAGAAAACAGGGAAATAGTACACCTTTTGTTGAGTTGGGATACTACTTGCGTAATGCCTAGAACAGATAACTTGGCACATTGATACATTGAATCTTTAATCTATTGCACAATGATTCACTTAGCAAATTGGATTGGGCCCTATGTCTAACAGTTCCCGACACTTCAGGAAATTGCCTTTAGAATCTTGAACTTTACATATAATTGTAGATAACAAAACTTGGGTTTGGAGATGAACGTCTGGTTTAACTAGCACATTTAAATTGGCTTCAGATGAGGATGGCGGAGTATTTTGCTCTGGATTTCTGAAATGTAGCAGTGAATTGTGTTTTAATATTTTATTGCATGACTTGCAAATTTTACCAGATGTTGGAAAACATTTATCAGTAGCATGTCCTTTACGTAAACAATTACGACATAGATCAAGACATTTGACATTGTCCAATTTTTCTCCCACATTAGGTTTCAAAAACTTGAGGGGTACGGGTCAAATTTTTTTTTTAAATTTTCAACCTAACCTTACTTTAATTGTCAGCCGGCCGGTTATAAATAAACAATAAAAAAACTCATGATTTGTGTTACTTTGGTGGAGAATAATTATTATTAATCATTAAAAAAGAAGGAATTATAATCAAGGAAATGGAATTTTTGGGAGACACTCAAGGTATGTTTGTACTTTTCAAACGAACTTGAATTTGCACTCACAAGTTCGTATTTTTAGACAGGCAGGAGCTAGATGAATTTCTGATCTTCAATGTAGAAGATTTGGTAGATGCGAATAATTTTCAGACTCGGGAAAATATATCTGAACAAAGTCAAGGAAGTGGCAGCTTTGTCTGGACAAACGCAAATACCGTGATTCTATTGGATTTTTATAAGAAATATCGTTCAAAAGTAGGTACTCTCAGCATTCGAAATTTTAGGAAGATTTGAGAGGTCATTTCAACAGAATTCAACAAAATGTATAAAACTAAGGTTTTTCCTGGCAGCTGTGAGAACAGATGGAGAGTGCTGGAAAGAAACTATAAAAAATATATTGACAACAAAAATCAGACTGGCGCGGAAGAAAATATTTTGAATTTGCTGCGGAAATGGACGAGATATTGGGCAAAAAAAAAAAAAAACAACAGTACTTTTGTCAAGTGAAACAATAACAACACTGCCTAATAAAGACAATGTGGTTGTGTTATTCACACCTCGATCTACACCAACTGCAGCAAGTGACTTGGAAAATAGTCAGTTGGCTACAACTACAAGCATTGAAAATGAAAAACCTCGAGAAAATCCTTGTTCTGGTAGAAAACGAAAATTGGCTCCACGTGGCAAAGAAAATGTCCCAAAAATCACCAAATCAGATACTCTACAACAAATAAGACGTGATAAGAATGAAAGACACAAAGAAAAAATGATATTTGAAAGAGAGAAATCTGAAAAAATATATCAATTACATTGAAGAAGTCAAGAAGCCAAGGAAAACCGGAATCGTCTGTTGCAGGAAAGCAATGACATCCAAAGAGAAATCCATGATTGAAAATTCCAATTAAATTTAATCTCCTGTTAAATTCAAAGTTGGTGTCAAATGATAGTTTATGAAAATCTAAAACAATAATATAAGATCGGTTTTCCTCTGAAATTAACCTTTAGTTTGGTAACATTTCGTCTCCTTTAAATAATTTATGGATGGGATTCGTGGGTAAAGGGAGTTAGTTATAAAGTACTACAACCAATTGTTCTTTGGCAACGTTTCGTAGTCTATTGCTACTTTTTCAAGCCTTAGGAGCAAAAACATTCAGTCAGCCTCTACATAAAAAATACAAAATACAAACTTACTCAGAAAGCAGGTTTAAAGATTGAGTTGTTAGGTGAGATCCGGAGATGGGCATTCCAATAAAAAGCTTTCCAGCATTTAACAATTAGGTGAATGTCAATGTTGCTACATAGGACAAACTAAACAATATTTAAAAAATAGACTTCAACAACATAAAAATGACTGTAGGAATGTGAGGGGCTATGAGTCTGAAAAAACAGCGCTGGCTAAAATACTGTAAACCTCAAAACTGACACCGCATGGTTAGCTCCAATATATAGCAACATTTTACAGTAATATAAGAATCGTAATTCACAGTAACTTTCCTTTCAACACTGTTCTTAAAAAAATTAGGAATCTTCGTTTTAATTCTTCCGTATGTGATTGTATAAAGTTAGTTCTTAATATTAGTCTAAGTCAATCATCTGTGTTTATGACGAGAGCAATTGAATTGGTTTGCGTGTTCGGAGTGAATTCTGGCTTCGGGCTTAAGGCAGAGAGTGGTTCTGTTCCAAACTCCAACCTAAAATCAGGAATATAATACATCAGCCTAACCTGACTTTGGGTTAATGTCAAATTTTATAAATAATAAAAAAATAAACAAAAGAAATTGATTTCAAAAAGAAAAATTAACTAAAATAAAATATAATCAATTAATTTTATACTTACCTGATTGTTAAATGCTGGAAAGCTTCTTATTAATCATTTAGGTTTTACAGCCTGTCAAAGTTGCAAAAAAGTCAATTTTCAACTGTCAATATTTCCAAAACAGTTTAATTTAGGTATAGAGTATATCATATGAAATCTGCTCAGAATTTTACGTAGAATATATTATCTATTCAGAATCTGTAGTTCAAAGGTACAGGTAAAATTTATCACCTTTCAATGCTATTTTGATAGGGAAAGGTGATAAATTTACCTGTACCTTTAGACTACAGATTGTGAATAGGATATAAATATGCAATCACATACAGGGTGTTTCATTCGAAAAAACAAAGTTGGTTTAGATAGCAAACAAACCATCAGAAGTGGCAGAAACAATTGATCTATGTAGAAATGTGGGGAATAATTTACTGAGCAATTTTCATTAAGTCACTTTCTCGTATACAAGGTAATTAAAAATTTACAGGTATTATGCGCGACTTTTTCTCCATTGTGTATTTTATTAATAAATGATTTATCTCTTTGATTAAAGTGTATTATTTTATAATTTAATTTAATCGACAGAGATGTTCGACTCAATTTACCCCCAATGCGACGACTAACTCGTTACTTTACGACAAATTGACTTTTCGACAAATTGACTTTACTCACGAATTGACGTATACTATAAATTGACTTTACGACGAATTGACGTATACGACGAATTGGCTTTACGACGAATGGACGTATTCGACGAGTTGGCGTACGATGAGTTGACGTACGACAGATTTATTTACGACGAATTGACGGTAAATTGCCATCAACAGATCGATACCACCTTGAAATTGTTCCTAAATGTGTCAAACTTCTATTCAATATATCCCTCACTAAATTGTGAACTTTTGAAGAATAAAATGCCAAGGTCAAAGCGAAGGATCTTGATGAAGGATTAAATTTTTTCCTGGTAGATCCTTCCAACATTCTTTCAAAAATATCTTGAGCTGCTCGAACAAGTGAAGCCTATAAAAAATGTCTTCTTCACGCAAGCAGAATGCAGATTTCCAAAATTTATTAGCGTTCCATCTTCTCAGTTATATTAATTTTATTTTTTATGCTTATGCGATAAAGAAAACTCGTTTTTGAGAGCTTTTAAAAAAAATTTACCTAATGACAGAAAAGTAGGTACTGTAATAATCGACAAAAATAAATACCTTTATGGTTGACTCAGACGATTCACTTATTAATGATTTTTACCTTAAGTATTCAATTATTTTCTGCATCGATGTAATTTTTTTTTTAGTCTTCGTACAGTAATTTGTAAAGTATGCACTTTCCCTTTTCTTCTCTCATCCCAACTTTTCACAAAAGCTAAATTACTTCTCCTCTTTCTTCCAAGATCTCCAATGTATCTTTTTCTAAAATCAAAAATAAAATTAGGTACCTATGCAAAAATTAACTGTTTGAATTACTTCCTTGATAGGAGGGTGTCAAATCTCCTGGTTTCCCTATGCCGTCAACAAATAAAAATTGTTGAAATACATAGCTACTACATAACATTATTCACTTGAACAAAAAATACTTAGATTTTTGGTAAAACAGAATTATATTTTGTTTTAAAAACCAAAAAGTTGTTGAGAAAAATGTAAAATTTGACATAAATTTAAATTTGTGAATTGGGTAGGTACCTTCATGTACAATTTACCCTTCAAAAAAACGAGGTTATAGGACTATGCAGACAAAGCCACAGCCGAATATATTTGTCTTGTTCTTTCTACCGAGGATCTCACCTAATCTCATCTCACTTCAGTTACTTAACAGAGATGTGTCGTTCTTTTTACGAATCTTATTGTGAGACTATCTCAGAGAGTTACCCCACCCCCGCCCCCTAGAGCACAACCTTTTACAGAATCTCAAAATGAGATTTCATAAAAAGGAGCGATAGTGAGAGGAAATTATAGATGAAAAAGAATATGTTATTGTTTATCCATCCAAAGTCGTTAAAAGTCAAATATATTTATGTTGGTGACAAGAAATAAGAAGGATTCTCTTTATAATGATGAATTATATTTTTCCTACGAGCGTGCGCAAAGTAGTACTTTTCCGCACGCATTACCGTTCTCAAAGTTACACTTTTCCGCAATCAGTGCGGATACGGGCCTTATCCGCACTAGTGATGAGCAAATGCAACACCAAGACCAAAACTGGGCTAGTCTTGGTCTTGGTCTTTCATATGCGGTCTTGGTCTTGGTCTTGCAGTCTAATAAGTGGTCTTGGTCTTGGTCTTGGTCTTGCAAGGTCCAGTCTTGGTCTTGGTCTTGGTCTTGCAAGTCTAGCATTTATTTGGTAGATTTTTACTGGAGGGAATTTTAACAAAGAAAATTTTCAAAAAAATTGTTTTTCATGCCACTTGAAGTAAGTAAATGTTCAAAGAAAGGGAGAGTATATGCTGGTATCAAAATTTTGGCTTTTCAATATTGAGAACTCTACCACAGCAGCAAATTTTAACAAGTACTTGTACAAGTACAGGCAATTTTTTCAAGTTAAAAATGCTCAAAAAAACATTGGGAGTTAAGGGATTACTTGTTTAAGTTTGTCCCTGTAATATTGAAACATCTTTATTTGTATTTACCAGTGGCGCATCCAGAGAATATGTTTGGGGGGCCCCTACATATAGGTTATGGATTGTGTCTAAAAATCTAAACAAACAATTCAGGTGTCAGGGTGCCACGCCCTGATGTTGTCACATTTTCTTATACGTAAAAATACAGGCCTGGATAGCGCCCTAGGGGGGGGGAGCGGCGACCCGATGCTCCCCATGGGTGCGCCACTGATATTTACAATTAATTGCCGGCGGCGCTAACACAAGAACCATTTTATTTAAACGAGCATTTCATTTGATTTTTTTATGCCTATCTATAATTGAGTTGAAATGTAAGTATCTATCTATTTTCTTGATAATCTCATGCAGCTATTCTTTTAATAGTATATCTAGGTCACTGGAGGCCCGTTACCTTAGATGGGATTAGAAATCAACCAAAATTATGATTACTCAATGAAGAAAGTGTACATCAGTTTCACGCATTTCTCAGCAAATGAAAAATTTTATGGACTGAAAAATCTCTTACTTTTTAACACCAATTCGATTTACATTGGAAATTTAGATATGTTTGATAATTGTGTTTGTGGGAATTCTCTATATTCTCCAAAGTTTTAGGATAGGGTAGGCCCCAATACCAGTAACAGAGTCTATGACAATAGTTAGATATGTTATATTCAACTACAAACAACTATATCAAATACACACTACATTTTAGTAATATTCAGAAAAAAATGGAACCAAAACGCAAGACCGCAAGACTCTTGCATGCTCGGTCTTGGTCTTGCGTAAGTCTTGCAATGCTAAGACTTGGTCTTGCATAAGTCTTGCACTACTCGGTCTTGGCCTTGGTCTTGCAGTTTAATAGTGGTCTTAGTCTTGGTCTTGCATTTTCTGCAAGACCAAGACCGCAAGACCAAGACCAGTCTCGCTCATCACTAATCCGCACTGAGTGCCGAATAGTAAAAATAATTGTCAAGTAACAACAAGTGCACCTGTCGACTTTGACACATGATGACAAATTTTTCCTCTGTTTCTATCAGCCTACATCTATACAAACACTGAATATAATTAACTTTGACACATTATCAGATTTGTGTTGTCTATTTACATGCAAGAATCTACAAACTTCTTTCGCATCAAATTTAAACGCTTTAAGATGAACAGCTCAGACGAGGCTTTCAATTTTCTGTTTTTTTTTTTGTTATGTAATTTTTTGATGAATGAATAGGATCGCTTCAAGTTAATTGAAAATAATTGAACAAATTATCGTATTTTTTTAAAAAATTTTGTTATTACCTATCTGATATGAAGCTCGTAGGAAAAATTTTGTTCCTAACACGTGCGCAAATTGTTTTTTCCGCACGCAAACACTTATAACTGTGTTTGCGTGCGGAAAAGTAACACTTTGCGCACTTGTTAGGAAAATAACTATTCTGGTATTTTTAGATATACTTATCTACATATATGTGGCCTGGCTGCAAATCATTTCATAACAGGTCATGTTCCAATTATAATATTAAAATTCTAAAAAAATAATTTTGGTAAAATACTTCTTCTTGAAATGGTGGAAATACAAAAGAATCCTGATAATTTAAATAAAAATAAAGAAATACAGAACTTAGGTTGCATATACTCCTACGCATACATCTTAGAATTGTGATATCGTTAATGTAATATAAAAACCGGTCGGATGGGATTAAAACGACACGTATATGTATCATCATCCTTAGGGACGTCAAGAAGACCACTTCACGAAGAGCTAGAGCAAAAATGTCCTGTCGCCTAGGGTGAAGATATGAATAAATTGTTCGACTTGGTGTTGTGAAGCAGCTCAGGAAGTTTGGCGTGTACATGAGTAACAAAATTTGGAGGTCGATGTACTGGGGACTATAATATTAATCAAAAATAACAATAACAATGTTTGGCGTTCAGTAACTAGGTCCGTTTGTCCCAATGGAATTTCAAAATCGGACAATATACAACAAACCGTCCATACAATAGTTCAGATTGATGTCTAAGGGATGGTTGATGACAAGATCTTTAAATTTTTCAGCCGACCAATTGCCCTTTCCACATATGCTGTGTCTGATGGACTTCTTCAACGCTAAATTGAACCTCATTCATTCTAAACACCGGGACATTTATATTTATCAGATTTAGTAATGAGGAACATGTAGAACCTTTGTCGGCAAGGAACGTATCTCCTGCTAACCAAAAGCCTCTTTCTAATTGGAACTGTACAACCTTTGTGAAACCACTTTGTTGTAATAGCATATCGTCGGAAATGGACCCTGTAGATAAAGCCGATACAAAAATTATATAATCGTACCCTTGACGTTCACTGCCAAAAGTTATTTCAACGTGTTATCGTGTTTATAGTGTGAGAAAGTTTTCGATTGTGTTAGCAGTGATGCGGGGGTTTGAATATAAAATTCCCTAGCGTCGAGACTACCAATGAAATTCGGGTACTGTTCCTTAAAGTCAATCGAATAGTGCTTTGGTAAAATATCCCGATGTGGCCAAATATTGCGACTTGCTAGTCGCACGTATATGAAACTAATCCACCATGTAACTGAATAACTGACTGTACCTATAGACACATTGAAAAGTGCACTCAAATACAGGTAACCGAAATTTTGCCTTAGTTTCATTAATACCAAGAAATACTTGTTTTCTTGGTCCAATGCATACTGATGCACACGGTCTCCTGAACTGCGATTCCTGTGCATACGCGGTTTTTCTTCGTAATCGAATAATATATTAAGGGATATTTTCAAAATGTCTTATCAGGTAGTAAAGGTCGATCTTTACATCTACATTTTCCAAGGGAATCGTTATGGTTGATAAGTAACGTGGTGTATAACGTGTGTAACTGACAGCATTCTTGATAAATGATATTTGCATCGGACATCCTCATCTGCATTTCACGCACTTCAGGCTCCACTATTTAATTTACAAGGCCCTTCTTAATGGCCACTGCGTTATTCCTGTCCTCAATATTAGACGGGGGTTGGGAACGTTCACCAATCAAAGTGCCATTATTTATTCCCAAATTTTCTGTTCTCCTTTCTACAAACAGTATCTATATTAAATTAAAAATCTTCATGATTATTTACACTCCAGGAAGAACACCAGCAATTAAAGTCTAACTTGGGGGAAGTAGTTGGGTGGTAAGGAGATGATATATCATACCTATTGGTAAAAACATCCATATAGTTATTGACCTCACAACCATAATCAACTTCATTTAAACCAGATCTACAGAAGCATAAAATTATAGTTACTGAAATAGTTTCTAAATTTCCTTGTTCAGAAGTCGAAAAAAAAAGAAGCCAACTAAGAAAGTTAATGTGGAAAACCTTATACTGATCCCGTGTGTGGTCGAGGTTTACATTACTTGGTGTCGCAGGATGTTGAACTAAAAATAGAAATAATGGTTTTGAAACTATACCTAATAGGTACTGTGAAATATTACTATTCAGGCATATTTTTGGAGTATGAGTATTATTCTCATAGTGATCATTTTCTATTTTTCTGCAATTTGTAATACTGCCCTACATATTACTGTTTATAGGTGCATTTACAATGTTGTCTGTAAATTTGTTGCATGGAGAAACTTTAGCTCTTGTGGTGCCATTTATTCCGAAAAATGGCTCTATATCTACTCCTCTACCAGTGGGCTTGTTCCATATAATTTTTTCAGTACACGAAACATACTAATTCGTTTTACAATAAAAAAGTAACAAAAGGTAAGCACTTAGAGAATTTGAATTCTAGGGCCGATTTTATAATTACTAGAAACTATCCTCAAGATTTAAGGGCGGCATTAATTGCATCATTCACTACCTTCTTACACTAGGAAGTCTAGGTACTAACATGGGTTCCAATACTCAAATATCATCCGACAGCACGTCCCATTTTAGCAGTGCAATACATTGTGGGATTTTGACTGTCAGGCCTTTTTTGGCACATAGTTTTTGCACTTCAGTTGAGTCGAAAACGGTACTAGTTTAGCAGAAAATGTTGTGATAGTGTAAGCAGCACTATCGCACACAATAATTTACTTACCTGAATACTCAAGTGATAAACACAATGCTCCAATATACATGCAGCAAGGAAACAACTTCCTGCTGAACATAAACACGATGCTTGTACTATTTTGCAACTATTCTGCACAATTATTATTTTCATTTTATCATACTCCACCGTTTCCGACACAACTTCTACTGCAATCTTTAATGCATACCTTAGTGTATTTATTGAAAAGTTTAATAGCTAATGTTCTGCCTTTTTTTGCCCTTTTTTGCCAAATTTAACTCAAAATACTCATCATAATTAGGTCATTAAGCCAAAAAATGATTATTTCAGAATCAGAACTTAGAGAAAGACAGAAATATATCCATTTGCTAAAAGTGAGATAAATATAATTTCTTTCAATGAAAATACAAATGACTGGCAAATGCGAAATAATTGAAATCATACTTTGAAAAATAAATCCATCAGGTACTAGATGGAAGTACCTTTATTTAATTGGTATTTGCATTTTACTCCCATGATGGATAGATGGCAGCACTTGTATTATTTTGAACATTGTGGATATTTTTAAAATATAAGGAATTATTATTTTGCTGATTCTGAAATGGAAAAAAAATACAACTTTATAATGAAAATAAGAAGAGATGGAACATGTTACGTAAATGATAAATTTATCGTAACAACTAGAGATTGGTAGTTTTCTATTGAAAACAGTTGTGAGTTAATTAATTTCATGAGGTTGTTTTTGAAGTAAGCCTTTGTAACGTTCCAAAATCACCATTAGAGGTTTTAGTAGCTTTGGGGTTAGGTACTTGTTTTGAAACCGTTTATTTTCCGCCGGCTAAACTGGCTGTCTGCAAACAAAGGAAAATTAGACATAAATATACGAACGAAATACTTACTTTACTTACCTTGTTCCAAGAGCTGGGGCTTCCTTGATTTGACTCGTTGAGTTGTCATGGTGAGAGTAGGGATGGCTTTATTTTGGCTCTTCGATATTTGCTTTCTTATCTAGAAATAATTCATATATTGACTATAATTTTATAATACAAAACTTACCTTGGGATTTTCTAAGTTTGTTTTGGTTGGCTTGCTGATATCAATAATCATCAGCTGATTGTATGTGTAACGTCATCGGCGCTGCGTTTACGGGTTGACTTACACTAGATCGTATCGATTCGCCAAGTACCTACACGAAATACTCGGAACAGGGAACAATATTTTGAACTAGGTGCACTAAGTGCAATGCTCGAATTTGTTTCTACCCCATTAGTACTGTTGCTACTCCACTGGTGTTGCTGCTCGCTGCAGCAACCTTGTTTTCTCTTGAAGTTATTTCGTGTGTATGGCGCATGTTCTCACCAGGCTAGGTTTCTTCATTGGAACTCTGGCGAAAATCTTTCTTCTTCTCAAAACCTTCTAGAACCACCGACATTTTTTTTCTAGACCCATTTTAGAAATCCAAAGTCCATGTGCAAGTAAATTTTTGGCCAAGTGTCCATCCATTGTGGGATTTATTTTACTGAACACACAAATGAAATAGTTCTGTTAAATTCGTTGGGGCTGCTTTGCTGGTGCTTTGTTGCACGTTGTTGGAACTGTTTTACCTCTAGTGGGGATTTTGTTGGAACTTTGGATTTCTTGCCACCCGGCAACTACGTTGTCCGAGTAAGGAGAGAGGCACCAACGCAGGGGTTTTCAAGTTTCAAGTTTTTGAATCCACAAGTAATTTAGACGAGGGGCCAATCCACGTGACGCCCGTGTCGTCGTTTTGAATTCATATATCGAGCTTTGAGTCGAGGACTGCTGCAGCGAAGTTACAAGTTGCAATTCTCTTCCGTCAGGCCTATTCTGGTTTGAAACCCAGTCACGCAGTCACACACACACACACACGTCAACTAGAAGTAATTATGAACGACGTATCAAGTAAGATAACTGTAGCTATTCTTCTTCTCGAATCAAGGGAAATTCCAAAAACTGCAAGTACTTGACTAAGTTATTAACCGTAAGTGTACGGATCTTGTTTAATTGTTTAAAATATTCAAGTGGGAGCTTAGCTCGCCAAAGTTTTACACATATAAGTAGGTATTTTTGATTCCTGATTTATTAATATAGGAGTTGAACCTTATTATTGATGTCACCGAGAGTGAATAATTTATTAAATCTATGGGGTGTACCTTTTTAATTGAAGGAACGAGTTTTCTTATCAGTTTATATTAAATTGTAGGTACCTACTACTCACATTTCCTGTACTATGTACTTAAATCATAAAATAATATATATCTACTTGAGTAAATGTTATTTCTGTCTTTCATTGAGGTGTTTACTATAATCCAACAGAACAAGAAATTACAGCCCTTAGAGTCTCATGCAATAACTTAGTAGGGCTACTCTATTTTTGAGCTAGCCGGAGAATCCCTACTAGGTTAGATTATAACAACTAATGTTATACCTTCATCAAGCTTTTTTTCTTTCCATAACACTAATCTATAAGAAATATCACAAAAATGGTAGAAGTAAATAACCTTAAAATCTATTTTTCGTCTCAAGTTGATTTTTGGTACCATTGGTTTTGGCTCCCAGCTTCTCAAGTTTTAATTGCTGAATATTCATATTTGTATAATATTATTCGTTTAATTGTTTTTTTTTTAAGAACTCTATAATAGAACATAACCGAGCGAATACCAAATTTTGAGCTAAGCGGTGTGAGCGCCCCTAGCGGCAGCGGTGCCAAGTGTAATTGATACTTAGTTGAGAGGTTCTCAAGATGTGTTGGTACAAACAAATAGGAATTTGAAGACGCCTTAAATTCATGGATTACTTTACTATTCTTTCCTTAAGTGGACGTTGGTGCAATCGGCCCTAAAACTTTTTTGGTATTTTGACGACACAAGTGTAGACGGTATTGCGCACATAGAGAACGAATTATTTGGGTGCTTTGATGTGGACAAATTTACCGGCTCACGACGGAAAATATTCGTGTTCTGGCGAACATGCTGAATAAGAAACACGAATATTATTAAATCCACAAATGCAGTATTTGTCCAGAATATCGATTATTCGTTAGCGAATAACGCAACTGTGGAGCCGGCGTAAGGAAAAGGAAAGGGCAGCATTGAAGCCAGGGTTGGGAACGTAGTTAATATAACATTAATTACATGATTAACTACCGTAGTTATTGAGGATGACTACATCACTTTTTTAGCAAAGTTAGTTACATTAACTACATAACTTTTAACTACATTTTTTAAATATTTTCGAACATTTTCCAAAGCTATTTTTCATGAAGTCCGTGCGACAGGGCTATAATATCTTCATTGATAAAGGAAATAAAACAAGAAGAATCTTATTACAAACGTTTTTTATTTAACTATCTTCTCATTATTTAACAGGAACAAGTATCGTCACAAAGACAATAAAAAACATAGAAAAAAAAATCCTACAAAAGTGTTAAATACAAAACCATCATCCAAAGATATTCGAACATCAGAACAGAATATCTTTGGACGAAGACAAAACTGAAAAGCACCAAATGCTTGAACAAAAAAATAAAAAAACAAAATATTATTCAACCTAACAGGAACAAGTACCCTTACAAAGACAATAAAAAAACATACAAAAATCCCTACAAAAGTATTAAATACAAATTTGAAAAACATCAAATACTTAAACAAAAAACTAAAAAAATAAACTATTTCTTTTATGTGGAAAAAAATTTATATTCTGCATAATAATAGTTAATAGTCATCAGATATATTGCTGTCCTGAAATTTTAGAGAATAATAAACTGATATGAGTTTTTATGATTTTTCAACATTTAGCCTATTTCTTAAAGGCGAACGAATGAAAGACCAGTTCGAAAATATTCGCTCTAGCTGAGCTGAACAAGCTGGAATTTTCAATAATTTTATTGCTAGAGAACTTAGCGATGGAAATTTCCTTTCTGCCAAACCCCAAAATGTATCAGGTGAATCAATTTTTTTGTCAAAAAGTTTTGAAAAAATATCTCTTTTATTTGTATAAGCATTAAGACTATTCCATTGGAGTCTAAGTTTTCTAATAAAAAATCTTGTATCAAATCTCTCTGATTATTTTCTAATTGTTCACCATTATACAGTGGGTGAAGGAAATTGGCCGTCATTCCATAAATCTTAACAGCCATATTAAAGCGACGCTGAACAGCTGCCTGAATTTGTTCAGTCTCATTGTTCAACTTGGTCTTTATAATCATCCATTCTTCGGTTGAATCCGCAATTGAGAAATTAGAACTCTGGCATCTGTTGATAAGTTCACAAATAGGAGTTAGTAAACGTATTGTTTCCTGAACTTTCTCCACAAAATACTCGTCATATAAATGTAAAGTTATTTCTGCCTTAACTTTGATATTTTCTAGCGCACACACTTTTTTCATAATTGAAAGATTTTTAACCGTCTGTTGTTATTCGACGTGGTTCTGCCAATCTAGGCTTATAGACGGGGTAGTGTCGGGATGGCTAGCTGGTATGCCGGCCGACTAAAACCTCCCCCCCCCCCCGTCATCTTACGCCTGAGCCCCAGGCAGCAGGGTTTCCGGTTCCGTAATCGTGTACGTTGATAGATGCACCTGCGCATCGTCCTTTCTTCTCGCTTCTAGGTCACGGTGGATCAGGCCGCGGAGGTCTTCTCCTCCAAACTTGTGTGTTCTTATTAAAGAGTGAATGAATCATGATACTTCCCATGATAGTCCGTACGCTGAGAACAGCCGCTTCAGCGGACTTGATGACCTGGTTCTCTGTCAGGTCTTCATACGACTTTTTAGACCAGATCCCTTTCCAATTTATCGTGAGCGTCATCGTCTTCGAGCTCCTCGCTCCTGTCAGTCTCCTCACAGCCTGATGGAAGTCTGGGCTGGAGTACTTTGTCTTTTTGGTGGCATCCGCCAGGTCAAGTTCGATTGCATCAGTGACTACTTGCGCATCAATAACCAAGGTCTCGCCGTCTTTGGTCGCCACAATGTCAGGTTTCAGTGTCTGGTTGTTCGTTATAATCCTCGGTTCTGCCACAACCGTGTATCCTTTCGCGTCCAAGTTCCTTCTAAGGTAGGCCGCCAAGGCGTCATGTCTTTTAACTCGTGAACCGTGTGTCCTCGGGCATTGCTGGAGTACATGATTTAGGGTTTCTGGTCTCTGACATCCAGATCTGCACGATCGGTCCAACTCAGGCCTGCCTCTGGTGGTTCGTGATCGTGTTGGGAGGGCGTTGACTCTTGTCTTAATACTGTTGATAAAGTCTTTCCCATTCAGAAGTTCTGTTGGCTCCCTTATCCACCTATGTACTCTAGGTACCTTGGCGGCTTTCCTCAGGCCATGGCCATCCACCATACCACCGAGGTTGGCTTTCCACATTTTATTTATGTCATCCGTGGACCTCAGGTTGGCATTATCATATTTTAGCCGCTTCTCAACCTTATCTAATTCAGCTGCCAGAAAGTAATTGGATGTATGATTGCCGTCAAGCAACGGCAGCTGAAGATTGAGAAGATTGCCCCTTCTCATGAGTCCGCCGTTCTCTGTGCTTGCGTGTATAAACGCCGTGGGGGTATCGTGTGGTAGGTGGAGCCATTTCCTGACATATGACTTGATAAGCCCATCCGGTTTCAGCCCACCATAACATTGCCCAGTGCCAATTTATGATATAGTTTAGGAATCAGGTAGACTCGTAAGGCATGGAGTCTTTGTTGGGGCTGCTGTCAGTCTATCGAGTAATGGGCCTATGTCGGTGTTAGGAAGGTACTTAACACGTCCGGTCGGGCTGAAGTTGACGCCGAGATACCTCCAGTTGTCTCCCCTGGTGAGGTATGGAACATATCGTATTCCTACCTTAAACTGTCGCTCCTCCATAATCGTGTATTTCTGCTTCGCCTGCCCCTTAATGCTTAACCCCCGGGCAGGCGCGCATTTAAAAATCACATTAGCGGGCGCGCTGCGGCACTGCGTGCCGCCAGCAGAAAAACATACGAAATAATTCAAAACATCAAAATGTATTTTTAAATAGAGTGAGAAAATAAAATAAACTATAATTCTAGGCAACTAAATGAAATCCTTTATACTAATTTCGCAAAAACAAAAAAATAATATTCATAATATTTGTACTATTCCCCTTGTAATTTTACTTACACGACCAGGCGCGCTGGTGGCACGGAATGTCGAAAACTCAACACCTGCAAGTTCAAGAACCCAGTGACATCTGAACAAGCGCTCTAAGGTCGTAAATTGTGCCATAGTAGGTTTACTGATATAGTCATTTGAACATAGCTAGACGGACAATATGATAAAATCCACAATATTTGCAGAATCCTTGAATTAGTAAAAAGGCGGCATAAAAGACCGATAGCGCGCCTGCTCTAGGGTTAAGGTGATGCATTTAGCTGGATTAAGAAATAGCCCGCAGGCTTCCAGGCAGTCCGTAGTAGTATTTAGCATGTCTTGGAGTCCAGCCGAAGTAGATGCCATCAGAATTAGGTCGTCTGCAAAGGCGAGGGCATTGATCTTCGTAGTGTCTATTGTAGCCCCGGTTTCTTTAGGGAGCTTTCGTAGTAATCTGTCAATAATCATATTGAATAGCAGGGGGGATAGTGGGCCCCCCTGCTTGACACCTCGTTTAGGATGGACTGGCTCTGATATCCATCCCTCGCCTTTGATCTGAGTGGAGGAGTCGCAGTAGTAGCGCCGTAAATATTCAATGGTTGGTTGTGGCAGTCCAAAAGATCGGAGGGTTCCGAAGATGGCCTCATGAGAGACGGAGTCGAAGGCCTTTCCGACGTCTAGTGAGGCCATGTAACATGAGGCAAATTTCTTATGTGTGTCTCTAAGGATTAGATCCAGCAGGATAGTATTATCAGCACATCCGTCAGTTGGTATAAAGGCTCTTTGCCTCGGGTCTAACTTAATAACGTGGTTAAACCGAGACGCTAGTATCGAGTGTAGTTGTCTTGTGAGCACAGATGGGACTGTTAATGGCCTGAAGTCCCCAGGCTCGTTAGAATCGGCCTTTTTGGGGATGAAAGTTGTAGTGGCCTTCCTCTGTTCCAAAGGCAGCCTCCCGCAGCCGAGAATCAGGTTCAATATTCTCAATCTGATGGGAATTGGGATTGCGTTCAGCTGCCTTGGTGTGATTCCATCCGGCCCGGGGGCCTTCTGCGGTGGAATTTTCGCCTTTTCAATCTCAAATGGTGTAATTGGTGCCCAGACATTCTCTATTACCTGCTGGGTTACCTCGTCCGGGGGCGCTATATGGGACCTCGACTCCATCAGATTCCGCCAAAATGGTTCCATCAGGACGAGCCATCCGGGGTGTTCGGCGCTTCGCTAGAGCTAGATTCGTCATCGCTGCTCTCAGCATGCGAGGAGGAAGAGGGGGAGGATGGTGGTCTGTTGTGGCGTTTTGCGGGCGGGGATTGCCTGAGCTTACGGAGTCTTTCAACGACTTGTCTTTTGTATTCAGGTCGTGTACGCATATTCTTTATCGACCCAAGTGTTCTGGCACTGTAAAAGGCGAAGAGCGCTTGGTTCATGAACCTTGTTTCGCCTTCATATACGAGGCGCGCTTCTTCGCTCACCAGTCTAGAGATTTGGTCGGGTGTCCACCTGGCGTTTTTGGTTATAGTGACGCCAGATGGTCCCGCTACTTGGTCGTCAGGAGCAGAGGGTTTTTGTGGTTTGCCCTTATTAGTTGTCGGTTTTACTTTTGGTGTTTGTATGTCTTTAAGGTAGTTTTGGACAGCGTCTCTGTAAGCCGCTTGCTGCCTGACCTTCTTAATGGCTTCTTGCGTCCTTTGTGAAAATGCCTTGAGTAGAGCCAGGTTGTAGAAACAAGTTTTGCCCTCTGATATCAGTTGCGCCCCCTTCCTTGCAACAACGGCCACTTCCTCACTATTCCATCTTGCCTTCTTGACGGGCCGGTTTCTTGCCTTGTCGTGTTCCACAGGGTGTGCTGATTTAGTGTGAACACCGAGCCCTGTCTTCGTATCAAAAACTCTGTTGCAGCAGGTGCACCTATACGCAGCATGGTCGTCATTGCTTGCGGCATGTTGGGAGGGTGAGTAGCTTTTTAGGGCATTAAAATAGAAGCAGTTTCGCTGTAGTGACCGAACCGTCCGATACGACACGAATTTGTACGGGTCGCGTAACGAGAGTGTGTTGTCTACTCTGCGGCCGAGAATATATTATTTTTAAAATCTCGGACAAGGCAGCATAAAAATGCAGCTGCTTCCAGCAAGTGACGTGTGCGCATATGATAAACGAAAAAAGTCGCTAATGAAAAATATAGGCACAATCGAATTTTGTAGATTGCTCTACACAAACTAAAATAGGCAAAAAGCCCTTTTGACAGTTTCCTAATCAGGTATCTATACAGGGTGTCCCAAAAAGATACCGACAAACTTTAAGGGGTAGTAGGGGACATCAAAACAAGCATTTTTGTTTATATAAACATATGTCCGCAAATGAGCCATTTGGGCTGTAGAGCAAAAAAACTGTTTGATACTTTTATTCTTCGCAATAATTAAATCACTGTTTACTTATTAATTTTGCCTTATTATCAAATAAATTATGGTTTACAATAATTGTTCAAAATGTTGACCATTTACTCCAATGCAAAGATTACACCGTCGGGTCATTGACTGAAAAGTTTATTCTACGAAACACCTGTTCGTAATGAGGAAGATCTGATAGCAAGGATACTGGCGAGTTGTACCCATGTAGAAGCTATTCCCGGAATATTCCAAAGAGTTCGCGAGTTGAACAATTATTGTAAACCATAATTTATTTGCTATTAAAGCAAAATTAATACATAACAGTGATTTAATTATTGCGAAAAATAAAACTAGATACCAAACAGTTTTTTTGCTCTACAGCCTAAATGACTCATTTGCGGACATATGTTTATATAAACAAAAATGCTTGTTTTGATGTCCCCTACTACCCCTTAAAGTTTGTCGGTATCTTTTTGGGACACCCTGTATGTTTTTGTATGAATTGGAATTCCATCTTTAGTTTTATTCTGATGTTTCACTTGATTTGTGAATGTCAATTTATCATCAGGTTGATAATAGCTTTTTGGAAAAGCGTGTTTAACAACTTTTAGTGCAGCAAGCTCTTCTGTATTTAAATGATGAGTACGCAAAAGATCTAAAGATTCTAGAGATTTTGTTCCATACTCATAATGTTGCAATGGCATTATTTGCTCCAAATTGAATATTTCAAAATTATCTTCATTATAAGGAAGGGCTGATGAGTCTTCTAGATCATTAATATAATAATTAATCATTATTGAATGATCGGTCAAATTATGGACTTCTAGAGGAATCATTCCATTTTCAACTTTTACGATTGTTGATGGTATAAGAAAAGTATCATCTTGGCTAAGAGCAGTTAAAATTTCTGTTGCTTCTAGTATATTCGTATTGAAATGACATATTTGAATGGTTTTAGCCGGAATTTCAAAATGTCGATTATCAAAATCTGTTCGAAATTCAAAAGGAATAATTGTTTCATAATTATAAAGACACATTCTTGAAAAATTGATATTTAGGTTATAATCTTGAATCGGTTGGATTCCTTAAATTTCATCAAAGTAATCATGAAAATTATACATTATTAATCGATGTTTTTATTTATATTAAATTTGTTTGTTTTTATTTATATTAAATTTTTTTAAATATTAAATACATGTTGAATTAGAACTTCAACTTTTCCATGGGCCTTTCTTGTTCCCATACAAGTTGTTAATTTATTTTGCGAGTTTATTATATAATTTGAAAAATATTCTTTCGCTATGGAAGTTCTTATTAAAGAATCACGACTTCCTGTATCTATTGATAGTTTGCAAGGAGGATCTTGAATTTGAATAAAAGGTAATTGATTTATTTGATAAGCATTAAGAGTTAACGCTAATTAGTTTGATCCGAGGCTGATAACTAAAAATTTTTATCACCAGGATTTTCAGTCTCACCTGAATCTGAGGAAATATCGTGATTTTCTTCTCGAGAATCACATAGATTTTCAAAATTTTCATAAGTTTGTACTGATTCTTGGTGGTTATGTTCTGGTTCTGGTAAGTCTAATTCATAAATATTATTTATTTCTTCAATCGTATAACGAGGTGGGCCTGCGTTTGTTGTACTGACACACCGGACATAGGCGTTGGTTTAGGAAATTTTTGATTGGAATTTTTCTAAAAAATATTTTGTTTTCCAAAATGAATTGTTTATTTACAAAGAAGTTCCACTCCACTTAAACCGCTCAAATTTGAATGCAAATTATGATTTAATTTCAAATATTTCTCATGGAAAAATCTGGAAAAATCATCTGGGTAAAACCTAGTGGGAGATCCTGTATATTTCCTCCGCGATCTCAACCCAACTCTCGACCAAACCTAATATTTCTTTTACTGTTATATTCTACTAATTTTGCATAATTTTGCACACCTTCGAAGAAAGAGTTATCGACTATAAAAAACTCCAAGAATGATGCCGACACATTCTGTTTAGATAAGCCATCTGCATAAACAGTTTCCAATGCAATATGTCGAAATTTTGTTGATGATTGAGTCTGATATTAAAATACATAGTGCGGAAAAGTGGCGTTTTCTGTTCCAAGTCACAAAATAGCTATTCACCTAATAAGTGCGGTCGGTGAAGCAGCCGAGTGAGGAAAAAACATTTTCCGCGAGTGTTAGGTATAACAGTTTTTCTACAGACGTGCGGAAATAAGTAAGTATACCTATATTTAATTTATTGTAATTTATAATATTTTCTTTTGACAGTGTTGTAGATAGGTGTTGAAGAAACCTGTAAATTCGCGGCCACTGCGTTGATAACCATAATAATAATACGATACATCAGATGCCGCATCGCGCCAGAAAGAGAGGGACTCGCTCGAGGCAGAAGCTCGCAGCGAACTTGACGTTACATGACGTTACGTTGGAATTTGTTTTTGAGTTTCAGTTTTTTTTTTTCACAAGTTTCAACAATAAAACAGGTCTTTCACATCAAAAAGTTCGGCAACACAATTATAAATTTAATGCGTCTGTTTTATTTCAAATTGTTCTGATTTTTAACATCATTTGGTGCCAGGAGTATTTGTTCTTGTTCGGCTAGCCGGCCAACGAGAGGCATCTAATGATCGTTAATATGGCCGCCAACGTGGGGCCATATTAACGATAAAACTTAATGGATAAGGTTAGATTTGAGTCGAATAACGTTGAACGATTTACTGGTCTTTTCAATAAATCATCAAACAAGTATGAAACTTCTGATAACATTTGTTGATAGTTTCTTTGTAAGTCCTCATTCAGATGATTTAGTTGAAATCCTGGGATTTGTGGCGATGTGAGATTCGACATTAGAACATAAATAAACAATACGTCGTAGCTGGTTTCCAAAACGAAGACAACATCTATCCATATGTAAGACTTGTTGATCGAAAAACCAGGAGCAGCCCAAAATGCAATCGTCTGACAGGTTAGACCAAGGGTTCTGATATCAATTCCACATCAAGAATGAAGTATTCCACTTTCATAAAACCATGAGTTTGAATTTTGACAGGTCCACAACCGAAGTTCTATGTTTTTTCTCTGACTGTTGGGAGAACTTTGAAGAATTTTGCTGAATCAAGTGTATTGATGCACCAGAATCTAGAAGAGGTTTTATTTTGAAGTCATTAATGGAAATTTGAATTTTCGGTGAAATGGTATTTATTGATTTGAATGATGAAGGGAAGGTGCTGTTGGTCGACCTTACCCATTGGAGTTTCCCTGCTGTTCTCCTAGAAGTTTGACATTTCTTCTGTTTGGATGTTCTGGACATTCGCTATGAAAGTGCTAGTTTGGGGTGGTCGGCACTTCAATTGGTGCAATTATACTCGCCTTATTGAAGGTAGTTATTTCAACTCAACAAAATTTGATTTTGAATCGATAAATTAGATAAAATACGTTTTTTAAAAGTTTAAAATGTTAGTGTCAATCGTTGCACGCGCAGAGCCAGTCTATTCGCGCCAATCTTCTTGCCTTTTCGACCGTCAATGGGTAGGGGACACACAAAACGCCAACGGAAAATGCGCCGTTGTCACGTAGAGTGAAAAGTACTGTCTTTGAAAAAATAAAAAAAATAAATTATGATAGTTCAACCTTGAACATTCCGGCCGCTTTGAAAGGTTCAGCTTTCAATATACCATTAGCCACAACAGGAACTGCCGAAAAAACTAAAAAACTTAGTCCCCGATGGATAAAACACATATTTGAGTTACAGCACGCCGGAGTAATCCGTTTTTAGTTTCAAGAGTCACAACACGCATTACATCATCGGATCTTGGATAAAACTGAACTATTCTGTCTAGAGGCCAGTGTAGAGGTGGGACATCATTTTCTTTAAGCATCACTATTGATCCTACTGCTACATTGTTCTTTTGGAAACGCCACTCGTTTCTTTCTTGTAGTGTGTGTAGATAATTTGCAGACCATTGTTTCCAAAAGTGTTGGAACATATGCTGGACGTATTTGTATCGCTTTATATAGTTAGCTTTGCAGGTAGACAAGTCTTCATCAGGAATTGCTGTCAGCTGTTGACCAATCAAAAAATGTGACGGCGTGATGACTTGTGTTTCTCAACTTCAACCATTAAACAAAGCTTATATTTCTGATAAGTTATCTAATTTCAATAAAAGTTGTTGGTTTGACAACTTTATTCATCAAATAGTTATCCGTGCAATAACGGTGAATGCTGAGAAACCGGACAATAATAATAAAAAGTCTCGTGATTACCGTTTTATTTGAGTTTCAATTTCGAAC